AACCGATATCCAGTCTTTACCCATACTTCACAACAAATCTGTTTATTCCTCCGTAGTGTTGACCACTTGACTTCCAATAAGTTTCAAAACAAAGTTATCCAAGCACAGTTAAAAACAATTAGCTTCTCTCCCCAAATAAGCAACACTTGCGATACGCTGGCTAGAATTTAAATGACCTTGAGGCCAACCTCGGCCTTTAACATGCCCCCTGCTGCTCGGAGGAAGTTATTTGAAGGTATTTGGCCATAAACCAAAGTAGTATACGTTTGAAATTTTGACCCAGAATTATTTCTGATAACAGTATTTTGCAGAAACTTTACTGAACGCTGTCGGATTGGTTTAAACCAAAGACTGTATAATTTAAAATGGATGTAGTCTCTGTGACCTCACCCATGGGTTTCTGAAGAGCTCAGTGTGTGGTGGGTCTGGCTGTGGCGGCCCCCGCCTAATCCAAAAATGGAGCGAGGGTAGGCCACTTTTTAATCTGGGTTTTGGGGAAGGTACCAAGTATTTTCAAATAAAAAGTCTAAGTCTTTTTATTTTTATTTTGTCATGTTGAGTCTAAAGTGGTCCGACCTCTGACGTTTCTATTGACTGTGACTTTATGTGAGTGTATTTACAAAATGTGCATTGTTTATCATGACATACTGTACAGTCTGTGGCTTCGTGTCCCATTATTGCCAGTACTACTCTCTGAAGCTCCTCCTCTGCCTTTGATAAATTGAGTCAAACTCGCACACATAATACTCACTCATCATCTGACAAAAAAAGCCTTCTCATTCCTTCATCCTCTGACAGACTTGATTTCCACCCCTGTTTCCTTCCATGCGTATTCAATCATTGCTTGACAAACACCTTTGTATTTATTTATCCATTCATTGTTGCCCAGCGACTACCTTTACTACATCAAGTTATTATTCATTCCCTCAGAGAATTAGCGTGTGGGTTATTCAGTCATTCAGTCTGACTAAATCAGGCAGCTATGGTTGAATGGGCTCCAAATGAGTCGGGTTATTCTTTTCACACTAAGCAGAGATAAATGCTCCCCACCCAATATGCCGTCGGAAAACCATTTAGACGCTGCTTATACACACACCCCAAGTGTATAGCTTACTGTATCTCTGTGTGTGTGTGAGAGAGAGAGAGAGAGGGGGAAACCAATTACCAGAGCTCATGTACCCACAGCTTAATGGAATAACTTGCCAAATCAATGCAGATTACACTTGCAAATCCATGTGATATCAGTCTGTGAATTCAATTTGAGGTGTGTTACTGTATGATAATTGTTTTTCTTTGGTCGTCAGCACTACCTGTGCACCTTATCGAGATGACAAAATAACTTTTGACCATGATCTTATAAACAGCAAGAGAGATAGCAATAAACCCGTTCACACCTGGCAAACACATGCGTCTTGGGTGATCACAAGGGGTCAACTCTAAGTACAGGTGTCAATGACATATTCTGAGGTGGTCTGGTCTCCTGGGCCACACTGAAGGACTGCCTACTCAACTGACATCCTCTATGTGAGCAGTATGTACTCATTTGCACGCAAACAGTGTCATATTAAAATGAGAAACATAAGAACTCACAACAACAGGCAAAGTGGATTCTCGTAGATGGAACAGCCTGCATACGATGCACACTGTCTGATTTTCATTTGCGCCAAAGAGTAAGAAGCCCACAAAAGAATAAAAAAATATTCTTCTTTTAATTTCTAGCAGACTAGGCAAGTACATTGCTGCCTCCTACTGGTTATAAACAACAACGCATTTGGTCTTTGCATACAGAGCAGGGAAGTCAGATCAGATCACAAGTGGTCGCTAGAGACGCATGAGAAGACGTATTCTAATGCCAGGTATGAACCGACATACTTAAAGCTGCACACTTGTGATTGGACCACCCCAGACACAATTTATGAAGAGTACTCAGGACAGTGGTCACATAACAGGAGCTTTAAATCGGCTAGTTGTGGTTTTACAACTGGCTCTTCAGTGACATCAAGACTTCACAACACTGAAAAAACAAATGTGTGCAAATTAAACAAACAGGATATAATGTGATCATTAGTGAGGTTTAGAAGTGCTGGTAGGAGGATCTCATTACCTCCGGACAGAACTGGACTAGCTGTTTCCCC